GGATAACCTGTTCCTGTCCGCGTACAGTTTCTAGTTCTTCAGATTGTGTATTTGGAACGCCATAGTGTCAACACTTATTGAGATGGGGAAATTTTGAGTACACAGCCATGTACATCACTAGCTCCTCTGCTCATTTAAATAGGCATATTTGATTATGGAAGTCACTAAAAGTGGACGGGTATTAGTTCCAGGGTCAATTCTGGAACCAATTAATTGTCCACCTGCTGGATTTTTCATTTTTCATTTTTTGGCATTTTGTACACTGTCTATTTATTACTAGAGATCTTCTCTTTTATATCCAACAATAAAAAAATGAATATCTTTATTATTAGTGGAGATCCAGTAAAAAGAATCTAAACAAAAAATTTAAGATTTGAACATCACACCCTTTTTTGTTTTTGAGGCACAGTACTTTTAAACTATTAGATATAAGAGTATGACATTGTAGGCACAACTGATACAAGGGTTGAACTTCAATGCATTAAAATTTTAACACTGTCAGGTTGTATGCCAAGTCCTTGACAATTTTTTTTGTGCCCAAATGGATGGAAAACTGTTGCTGGACGGAAAACCAGTGCCACTAACCTACGCTCCATCTAAGTGTATTCATGGCTTGAAATGATAATAAACACTACAGTATTGTATATGTATTCATATGTACTTGTGTGTGTATTTGCCAAGGATTATTTTTCCCCTCTTTGTCTACTTCTTTCTTTTTCATTCTCTTACTTATCCTTTTTTTCTTGATCTTGTTCTTCTTGTAAATTAATTGATTGATTATTTCATTTGTGTTTATGTGTGTGCATATTTTATGGTGCATTAGCTGGATATACTTTGTATTTAGCTAATGGTATTTTTTTCTTTTGTCCTTTGTCTCCCCTTTGTTGTTCCTTCCTTTTCTATTTTGGTTTTATCATTATTATTTTCTGATATTTCTTATTTACTGAATTATTATTTTCATGAAACCTTTACTTTATATTTCTACTTTGACATTTTTTTTCTTTTTTTCATAGGAACTTCCAAATTTGATTCAGATATGTTTGTTGTTTAAGATAGAAAATATGTTGTTTGGATTTCTTTGTTGAAAAAAGATTATCTTTTTTGTGTAATTTTCTAAGAGTATGTAATATGTCATTTGCTGGTAACTGTGGTATCTTTTACCTCATATGTGATTTTTTGTATGAATGTCTCAGATGTTAATGGTTTGAAATTTAAATTTTCTGTTTCTGTTTCTTGATTTTTATCTTTTCATTCCTCTATTTCTTTATACTTTATATTTATTTCTAATTGGATTTTCTGTAGGTTAGAGATCTGGCCTGGGTATGTGACTGCTGCGCATTATAGAGAAGGTGGCGTTATGCTGTGTGTTGATGTCTCGCATAGGGTCCTGCGCACACAAACCTGTTATGAGATCATGTAAGTTTCCTGGTCATATTGTTATTGATAGCTTGTGATGTAGGACAATGAAAACATCATATTTGGAAATATCTTGAGATTTCAATACTGGTAATGATAGCAGTAATAAGATAATGGTAATCATTATGTTTATATATGGGGATAACAGTGCTGTGCTGAGCATTTTTCATATATTGGACAAATTATAAGGTCTAGGTCCACAACAATCAATTATTGCCTCTTCTTCCTCATTTTCTTTTTTTCTCTTCACATTTTTTTTCTTTCTCCTTCTCTTTTCCTTCTCTTTCTCCTTTCTCTCCTCCTCCTCCTCCTCCTCCTCCTCCTCCTCCTCCTCCTCTCCTCTCCTCCTCCTCCTCCTCCTCCTCCTCCTCCTCCTCCTCCTCCTCTCTCCTCCCTCCCTCCTCCTCTCCTCCTCTCCTCCTCCTCTCTCTCCCTCCTCCTCCTCCTTCCTCCTCCTCCTCCTTCTCTTCTCCTCCTTCTCTTCTCCTCTTCTCTTCCTCCTCTTCTCCTTCCTCCTTCCTCCTCCTTCTCTCCTCCTCCTCCTCTTCCCCTTCTCTTTCTCTTCCTCCTCCTTCTCTTCTCCTCCTCCTCTTCCTCTCTTCTCTTCTTCCTCTTCCTTCTCTTCCTCCTCCTCTCTTCCTCCTCCTCTCTTCCTCTTTCTCCTACTTCTCTTCCTTACTCCATACTCCTTATTCCTTACTCCTTACTCCTTACTCTTGTTTTCACATGCCCAATTACAGATGTCATGTAGAACCTCAGTTCAGTTTTTCCTCATCATCTAATAAAATTATCATCATTACCATCATCATCATTCTTTTGTTCCACCTTCCAGGTCTGAAATATTCAACAATCGCCGAGGCCAGTTCAAGGATCATGTGATTAAGGCTCTGGTGGGAAGTATCGTCCTCACGCGCTACAACAACAAAACATACCGCATCGATGATATCCTCTTCGACAAGAATCCAAAGTCAACCTTCACCAACTCCAAGGAGGAAGAGGTAGATTTTTTTTCTTTTTTTTTTAATGTTTTTTTATGTATGTTTTATGTTTTAAGGTTTAACCCACTGTCGCAGGGAAAATGTGTTCACTGTAGTATTGTTTTGTGAAATTTCTCTTCATGGCATGTATGTACATGCTATCCCCAGAGGCATAAAGTTACTAGGTGTAGTTTTTATGTTATTTTTATTTGATTGATACATTTTTATATATTTTTATTGTTTTATAATTTTAGAAAGTAGTTCATGCAAATGGAAATGGTAGTATTCCATTTCTTCAAAAGATATATTAACATTGGGCTAATTGATTGAAGCAAATTGCTGGTTTCCCTTTGCCCATAACTAAGTGTACAGTAAATGGCAAATCACAAGAGGGTAATCTCCTTCCTTGTGCTAGAGCACCAACTTGGAGCAATTATCTGTCCAGCAGGATTTCTGATAAAACTTTGAATTCTATCAGCCCCAATAGGGATTCACTGTAAAAAGTGGTGCTTATTTTGGGGAATCTCATAGTCAAAGGGTTAAGGGTCCAGGTAATTGTCTAGTCCCGGTGAAATGACATTTTACTTTACCTGTGATAATATTCTTAATTTTGGAGATAGATTTTAGATTTTGTGTATAAAAGGATGTGGTAGAGTAAGGAAGCTGTAGCTGTAAAGAAAATTCAAAATTTTGCATCACTGGCCTTACCAGTATCAGCAAAGAAAATGGCAATAGGATATTCAAAGGCACAGATAATAGAAATAGAAGTTTCGTGAATGGTTTTGCAATGGATAAGGCTGGTAGACATTCATATACCTTTCATGTTTAATGCTTTAGAAGTTGTGTTTTAGTTTAGCCTCTTTCCATAAGTTGCCATCACACATTCTCTCGGGGGTGGAACTGGAACTGTGAAACTTTTTAAATAGAAAAAAGAACTTATTCATATATAAGATCCAAGGCATATGTATATGGATTTGCTTTCCATTTTCTTAGTATTTTCATGATCGTTAAACTATTATTATACTTATGTTTATTGTGTTGTAATTTTGCTATTTTTTACAGGTGTGTTACATGGACTATTATAAGAATGCATATAACATCACCATCAAGGACCCACAGCAACCTCTTCTGCTCCACAGAGTGCGAAAGAAGGAATTGAAAGACCAGGTAGGATGCTCTGTAGGAAAAGCATGTGTTTATAGATTAATTGTTTACCTTACATTTTCTCTTCCTGTGGTAAAGGATGTTTATGTGTGTGTGTGTATGTTTTTTTGTCTGAGTGAATACAGTATGTCTACAGTGTGTATGTGTTGAATTCAGTATGTCATGCTTGTTGCTTGAAGTGCATGGTGTGGCAATGCTATATCTGATTTGTTTGTGCTACTACTAGGGAGGTTCTATATCCCTATGCTTGAACAGAAACAAATATTCCAAAATTTTCCTTTATATCTAGCCAAGGATCCCTCTGTATGGTGATTGTGCATTTATTTCTCATTGCTATGCCTAGTGTCATCAACATCCCTATGTCTGTTCTATTTCACTCCTCCCCCTCCTCCTCCTCTTCCTCCTCGCAGGGCACGACCAAGTTTCTGTGCCTGATCCCAGAGCTCTCCTACATGACAGGCTTGACGGATGACATGCGTTCTGATTTCCGGGTCATGAAAGACATAGCGCAACACACTCGCATCACGCCTAATGTCAGGCATGCCTCTCTTAGAACCTTTGTCAGGAATGTCAATGGTTAGTTTGTTGGTATGGGTATTATTTTTGTTGGATATTTTAGGAACTCCTTTGCTTTTGTGCATGCGATCAACATATTAATTTATGTTTTTCTTTTTTCACTGTAGTAAAATGTAGCATGTTTTCTATAGATATCTGGCTTTTCTGCTTCTCATATGATAGTGTATATGCCTTTAATTTCGTGAATAAATTCTGTATATGAGGAGAGTAAATATTTACTACTTTATGCATTGTTCTCCAGTACTGGTTGACCACACTAGCCCCCTAACCTTACATGTCTTGTAGTTGTGGATATTTCAAACCAGTTCAAATGCTTTATGACTTCTCTAAGTACTAGCTAGTACTAACTGGGCTCATAGGGATACATATTCGTCCATTTGCCCCTGATTATGGACTGTTTATTGTAGATATGAATTTTGTTGTTTTACAAGAGCTCAGTCACCACGGGGTCAATTCATAGGCTTTCATATCTGTGTCTGATTTCCCCATTCCTTAAATTTGTAGTTTTTTTTTCCTAATGCTATTAATCTCAATACTGTCATTGCAGATACTGACATTATGATTATTATAATATGAGAATACAATTAATGATATTAGAGATAAGGTAACAAAAAGGAATCTTTCCAAAAATCAAGGGAAGGGTAAACAGAGAAGATAAGTAGGATATGTAATTAACTCCTTAGTGACCAAACAATGGTGGAGCCATCTGTGTGTAAAAGCAACTGGTAAACTGAATTGACATTGGATCTGGTATATATTTTTACCATACAGGGCCATTGGGTTAAGTGGTAAAACAGGAAACCTAAAGTGATGTAGCAGCATCAATGTGTAAGCCAACTGTAGTAGATGTAGACAAAATATGGAGGGTAGTTTCATAGTGTGGCATGGTGAACATTCAAACTAATATCCTCAAAAATTGTTTCATTATCCCAGACCACTGAGTGTTATCACATGATCTTGAAAGCTTAGCAGTGTCTTTAAAAATTAGTGTAGAAATTTAAATTATACATTTATAGTATATAAAAGCTTTGTGTTAATATTATATGTTGTTGTTAGTCTTTGCTTTCCTCCCTTTCATCAGGATTTCCCTCAGGAGCAGAGCTCACAGTGCTTCTGTGTAAACTCTTTGTGTAATTTTCATTATTTCTCATCCAGGTTCCTCAGAAGCTTGGCAGGTATTGGCTGATTGGGGCTTAGCTCTCGATGACGACACTTTCACAATGGAAGGGCGAATTCTATCCCCTGAGACGATCCACTTTGGCACGAGGGAAGTCCCTGGGACGGAGAATGCAGACTGGGGGCGGGAGTCGGCCAGAGAAAAAGTGATCGTTCCAGTGAGTTTTATTTTTGTTCAATGTTGTCATCATCTTGATCTTTCTCTTAACCTTTCTTCTTTGTTGTTTGTTCTAGTTCTTTTTTCATATTCTTTATCATCATCATTACCTTCTTGTTCTACTTTTGACAACAACTAGATGGGCTTATTGAATTAAATACAAAAAACAGTTTTCAAGTTTTTGAATAACTGTCATGTAAGTGATTACTAGATTTAGAAACTCTTGAACTGATTTTTGCTACCATTTAAGTTTAATTATTTGTAATAGCATAGAACATTTTTATTAACTCTATAGAGAATTTACCACTTTTAATGCCCAAAATTTTAGTTTTCATTGATATCAGTGTATGGAAATAGGTTGGTTTTATGTCTCAAACCCTCTCGTTTATAAGGGCTATAACATCAGAGTCTCTCAGAGGTCTTAAATGAGGCAGGTAGAGGCCATTGCCCAATGCGGATGCCTTTCTGACCCTCAGACTGTAGCAGACTGTAGCAGTCTTTGAACACACTCCACATGGACACTGTACTGGTGCTTGTGAGTGTGCATTAGCGCTTGTCCATGGTAACCTCCCATTATGTACATGGCTTAGGATATATAGCTTTTTATAACCTCTTCCTCCATTTTTGCCTTCTCTGCCTTCTTTAAAATTTTTTCCTCCTGCTCCTACTTTCTCCTTCCTACATCTCTTTCTTTTCTCCTGTATCCTCTAGTTTCTCCTTCTTGTCCTTCAACCATCACCAGATCAGCCTAGCCATCTGCATTGTTGGTATATTTTCTACTTTGCGACAGACAAACCTCAGAGCCATTCTCTCCTCACTGTCTTTCTCTTCTTTATGACTTTATTCTCCCTTGCAGATCGACCTACGGCCGCAGTGCTGGCAGATCTTCTTCTCAGCGAGGGATGAGCCACGCGCCCTCAAGTTCTCAGAGATGATCCGTCAAGTCACACGCTCCATGGGCATTCAGGTGGGCCCCCCCCAGATGATTCGCCTCCCAGACGACAGGATCGAGAGTTACGTCAATGGGATCAAGCAACATTTCCATGATAGGGTAATGGTCATGGTGGTTTTGTCAAGATTATTGTGGCTTGGCTTGTTGCTCTTCTTTTTTGTAGCTCTCACTCATTATTGATAAACTAAAATTGGTTAGAATTGGAGACATGATAGATTTGTTAAACATTTATAGAAAGTGATCAATCATTATGAAAGTGCTTTTTTAAAATTTAATAAAGCTGGGTTTTAAAGGAGGTGAATGGATAACTGAAATTAGAGACCATAGTGTAACTGGTGTTCTGCATTTGTTGACAGAGATAAACATTTCATATTGATTTTCCCATACAGTTACAGTTGGCAATCATCATCTTCCCAGCCCAGCGTGAGGATCGATATTCTGCTGTGAAGCGCCTAGCCTGTGTGGACCTGGGCTTGCCCACACAGTGCATCAACTCTCGCACCATCAGCCAGGAGAACAAATTACGTTCTGTCACACAGAAGATTGCACTACAGATCAATTGCAAGCTAGGTGGGGAGCTGTGGGCTCTCAAGATTCCGATGACGGGACTTATGGTAGGGGGTTTGGTTTATGTGTGGTTGTTTTTTGGAGCTTTCATGGGAGATGCTACTCCTTTAAGATGTGTGTATTTGTACATGCAGATACACATGCCCATGCAAAGACATACATACACAGATGTACACACCCTTTTTATAAATGTATGTTTATCCTTTTTATATGCTTTTTTTTATTATATATATACTTTTTGCATATTTGTCTCACTATCCCAGCATGTATATAAGTTAAAAAACATTGAAAATACTACATGATGCAGGTGTGTGGTGTAGATGTGTACCATGACCCCGTCCGGCGTGGGGCCTCTGTGGTGGGCTTTGTGGCATCGACCAACCAGACGCTGACCCGGTGGTTCTCACATGTCAGCTTCCAGCATCCTGGCGATGAGATCGTCCATGGCCTCAAGATCTCACTCTTGGAGGCCCTCAGGCATTACCACAGGGTAGGCTGGTTGTGAGATTAAATAGGTAGAGAAATGAGAATGAGTATATGGAGGTGTGAATAGCATGGTAGTATGGGGTGTGGGGTTTTTGATTTTTTATTGTTTTATTGATGTTTTTAGAGGGAAACATTTATATGGTGTTCATAATTATTGGATAAAAGACAGACAGATAGAGACAGTTAAAAACACAAAGAGAAGGACATCGAGAGACAGAAAGACAATGCAAACAGAAAAAGAAACACCCTCTATGATTTCCTTCCTCTTCCTCCCCATCTTCAGCAACACCACTCCCTCCCTCGCACCATTATCATCTACCGAGACGGTGTGAGCGAGGGCCAGATGCGAGTGGTGGAGGAGCACGAGCTGCCCCAGCTGGCCACTATCTTCCAGCACTTTGATTCCTATGAGCCCAAGTTCTCGTTTGTTGTTGTGCAAAAAAAGATCAGCACTAGGATCTTTGCCTCACTGGTGCGTAGTGGCTGTGGGAGGTAATGCCATTTTTCCTTGTGATGGTGGTGTTAGTAGTCTTTTTCATATGTTGATGTTGATTTTTTTGTTGTGATTTGTTATTTTGTTATCATTATTATTGTTCCTTTAAAAATGAGAAGGAAATTAATGGATATATTAGATCATTTTTTATTCTCATTACCTTCTATCTCATTGGGTGTGCAATACACAACATAGTAAACTCTTATTAAATATCTGCCAGTGTGTACAATTCCTTCATTCCAGAATTCTGAGTTGGACAATCCTCCGCCGGGATCCATCATAGACCACAGCATCACACATCGCTATTGGTATGACTTCTTCCTGGTGTCCCAGCATGTACGACAGGTAAGAGTGTGAGGGGTGAAGGGCTGGGAATTGGGGACAAGATAAGCTCACCAGTTTTCAGATTTACTTTCTTAACTTTTGAATTATCTTTCTTGACTTTCAAAATGCTTCTCCGGACATCCAGGTTGTCTTTCCTTACTTGCAGACTACCTAGCTTGACTTTTAGACTGCCTCTCTTACTTTTTCTGATACTCAGACTTTCTTATATGACCCTTTGACTACTTTTACTTCCAAATCACCTTTTCAACTTTCAGACCAACCTTCTCATCATTCAGCTTAAAAGTCCCGAGTTTCAGACATTTTTCAGACTGCCTTTTCCATCTTTGAGGCCATCTTTTCCGACCCTTTTCAAGACCTACAGATTACTTTTCTGGATTTTCATTACTATGAGTGACTTTCCTGACATTTTATCTCTCAGCTTTAACTTTGCTGATGCTTTCAGAATAGCTTTCCCAAATTTTAGATTACCTTTCCCAGATAACATACTCATGTAGACTCCCTTTCGTTTCTATTAGACAACCTTTCTCAACTCCCAGACTGCCTTTCCAGACTTGCAGACCAACTCTCCCTACTCTTTCAGACTATATTTCCTATCTCTTAGTCAACCTGTCAGAACTCTCAAATTACCCAACAAACTTTCAGACTACCTCTCTAAGATCTCAACCTACCTTACGAATCTCATCCAAATTAGTGATTCACCATCTTTTTCATTCTGTGGCCCCTGACCAGTATGTGATAATCTCCATGGCTCCCCATTCAGTGTCTGTCATCTTTTCAGATTCAGTTATTACTAGTTGTGGATGGTGTAATGGTGTCAATAGCTTTAGGACACTTTATGGAAAGATTGCAATTTATTGATATGTGATAAATAATTATAGGTAGGCACTGTAAGTGAGATAAAAGTCAGTTTAATTTGACATCAAAATTTTCATATTGCTCCCCAGAAAGTACCCCATGGGCCCCAGGTTGGGAACCCCTGCACTGAATACTTTGTCATTTGTGAAACCACCTTTATGTAATTTGAGGAGAAATGACCTCAGACTGGCTTTCCTGATTTCCATTTCTGATCTACCAATTTTCAAAGATATTTCATTGGGATTACAACAATCCAAAAGACTTCCAAACTCCTTTCCTTGATTATCAAATAATCCCACAGACTCCCAGACAACAGATCCTGATATGAGGGCATGCACATCCAGAAGTCTTCTCAAACCAAAAATATATTAGCCTGTGAATAACTTTGGATGCACATGTCCTCATATGAATATAAATCTCACTGATTTCTAGCATATCAGTTGATTTTCACACCACTTTCCCTAACTTTCAGAGCACAGTGGCACCCACACACTATGTTGTCCTCCGTGATGGGGGGAACCTCAAGGTAGATAATATGCAAAGACTGGCCTACAAACTGACGCATCTCTATTACAACTGGCCCGGAACTGTTAGGGTGCCTGCACCATGCCAGGTGGGTAGTTTTCTTGTCCTTTTGAATTTGTGTGTGAATAGCATGATAGTATAGGGTGTGGGGGGCTTTGATTTTTTGTTCTATTGATGTTTTTAAGGGGAGGCATTTATTTATATGGTGTTCATAATCATTGGATAAAAGACAATGTGGTATCTTTTTTCTCTTATAATATCTGGTGTGTCATAGATTTTTCTTAGTAGACATAAATATGAGTGTGAATATA